CCTCGTCCTCATCCTCATCATCATCATCATCATCATCATCATCATCATCATCATCCTCATCACCATACTCATCATCATCATCATCAGCAGCAGCAGCAGCATCCTCATCCTAATCCTCGTCCTCGTCCTCATCATCGTCATCATCATCAGCATCATCATAAGAAGCAGCATCAGCATCACAATCATCATCACCACCACCGACACCACCATCATCATCAGCATCAGTATCATCATCATCAGGATCATCTTCACTTTCATCACCATCATCGTGATCATCATCATCAGTATCGTCACCATCACCACCATTATCCTCACCATCCGAATCATCATTAGCATCATCATGAGTAGCAGCATCAGCAGCATCAGCAGCGTCAGCATCATCATCACCACCACCACCATGCTCATTATGATTAACATCCTCATCCGCATCCTTCCTCTCCCCCTCGATCCTACTTGATCCTCCTCGATCCTCCTCGTCCTCGTCCTCATCCTCCGCCTCCTCGTCGATCCTCCTCCTTCCTCCCTCCTCGACCCTCCTCGACCCTCCTGGATCCTCCCTCTTCCTCCGCGGCGACGACGACGCCGACGGCGACCGCGACAGCGCCGTCGGCAGAGGGGGTCCTCCAGCGGTCGCTTGTTGGGGATGCCGTGCACGACCACCTCGTTCACCGAGGTGCAGCAAGAGGCCGGGAACCTTGAACGGGGATCGCGTCTGATCAGCCAACGGTCATCGGCCACAGAGAGAATGAGGAGCAGGACGAGGAGGACGAGGAAGAGGAGAGAGGACGAGGAAGAGTGGAGGAGGAAGAGGAGGAGGAGGAGGAGAAGGAGTAGGAGGAGGAGGAGGAGGAGGACGACGACCATTTCGTTCACCTAGGTGCAGTAGGATGCTGGAAACATCGAGCGGGGACGAGGAGGAGTAGACGGACGAGGACATAACAATTGCTTGTGCGGGGTCCCGGGTGCGCCGGGTGTGCCGGGTGTGCCGGGTGCGCTCGGCGCCGGGTGCGCCGGGTGTCCCGGGTGCATTCGGCGCCGGGTGCCCGGCCGCCGGGTGTGCCGGGTGTGCCGGGTGCGCTCGGCGCCGGGTGCGCCGGGTGTCCCGGGTGCACTCGGCGCCGGGTGCTGGGCCGCCGGGTGTGCCGGGTGCGCCGGGTGCACTCGGCGCCGGGTGCGCTCGGTGCCGGGTGCGCCGGGTGTCCTGGATGCTCTCGGCGCCGGGTGCCGGGCCGCCGGGTGTACCGGGTGCGCCGGGTGCACTCGGCGCCGGGTGCGCTCGGTGCGGAGGGTGCGCCACGCGCGTCGGGTTCGCTCGGCGCCGGGTGCCTTCGGTGCGCCGGGCGTTGTGCTGGGTGCCCCGGGTCTGCCACGAATCCCCTGACTCCGGATCCGCCCTACTTTGGTTTTTTTTCCAACTTCAAATTGCGTCGGAAATCCACCTAGAAGGGGCCGAAAAAGTAGGGCGGAAATTGCTGCACCCAACGTACAATAGGGCGGACATCCAGAGAAACAGCAACAGAAAAGTAGGGCGGAAATTGGCATCAGCCGGGCTTGAAAACTAAGGCGGAAATTCCAAGCCCCACTTACGAATTTCCCCAAAGTAGGGCGGATCCAGAGTCAGGGTCGTGAGCGCCACGCCCGCAGAGCGCCTGTCTTTCAAATGTGCGCGCCCACTTGTGAACACAGAAAATCTGTGAGGACTTACGTATACAGATGGGGACATGGGACGGGAAGATGCATGACAATATCGTTCCACATCCTCCTCATTCTTACTCCTTATTCGTATATACTCCTACTCTCCCCTCTGTCTGGCCGATGGCGGTTGCATCCGGGCTCTCCCATCCAGACTGTGTGACATCAGTGCAAAATGCCCGTTTTCCCTCCCAACATGGCTTGTCTTGTCGTCGACGATGCGAACTGCGTGGCAGGAATGGGACGCGGCGCGCATCGCGCGCGGACGTCAATCTGGGCCCTCCCATCCTGACTGTCAAAACTCAATACAAAGTCTCCGCTTTTCCTTTCAACATGGCCTGTCTTGTCGTCGGCAATGCGAATTGCGGCCTCCTGAAGCCTCCTGGAGCCCCCTGGAGCGTCCCACCGCCTCAGGGAGGCCTCCTGAAGCCTCCTGGGGCCTCCTGAAGCTTCCTGGGGCCTCCTGGGGCATCCTCGGTTCGTGCTGAAGTGCCAGCGCAGCCATTGAGACGGGCGAGGACTTCCCCATCGGTAACCACCATGGCGGCTGCATCAGCTGTGCCACACCACCTTGACGATTGATTTCGGTTACCGATTGCGCCTTCACTGTTTCTTATGTTGTGGGAGGGCGGGTGGGAATCACGGTGGGGATGTGCATGCCATGCTTGACGCGCTCGAACTGGCTACCTTGATCGTCCTTTTACTCCTGGTCCTGATCCTCTCTTGCGTCCTGCGCGAAGCCAGTATGCCAGAGCTGCCCAGTACAGGTGCGCTGAGACCGCAGGGTATAGATCGGGTACCAAAACTGCCAAGGAGCGCCCGCATCTAAGCGGTCGGGGGCCAAAACTGCCGGAGGGAGCGCCCCGCACCCTAGCATCCCGACGGACACCTGGCGCAGGCGTGGGCGGCTCGATTCACCCATGCTCTCATTCGACTACGCCCCACCACTCAGACTCTACCACTCTCCCGGGGCGCGGCTGGGGCGCGCCCGCGCCGGTGCCGCGCCGCGGCCTGCCGCGCCGGCGGGCGTCGGCGCTGCGCCGCTGGCCGTCGCCGCCGCGTCGGCCCCTCCCGCGCCGCCGGCAATTCCTCTTGCTACTCCGCCCGCCGCCGCCGTCGCGCCCGGGCCGCGCGGGGCCCCCGCCTGCCCGCCGGGCACCGCAGCCCCCCGCTGCCGCGCGGCTCGCGGAGCGCTGGCGGAGGCAGGCGGAGCTCTCCTCTTCCTGGTCTCCTTTGCCCCAATCGCACTCGTGTACGCCTGCAAGGAAACGCCGCACAGCTTCATCAGGCGGTTGTGGAATGGCAGGTGGAGGTCGCGGCGGTCGGTCGGCGGCAGCTTCAAGTGGATCCGCGGGACGCCCGGCTGGTCCTCCGCGCTCGAGCCGTCGTCGCACGTGCCAATGTGATACTGGCTGAGGCCCGCCTGCATGACCGCCTTCCAATGGTGCTGCCGGAGGGCGACTGTTCTCCCGCGGACGCCTGGCTCCTGGCTCGGCAGGGTCTTCCGGATGGAGCCACGCACGTCCGAACAGAAGACAATGGGTTCTCCTCGCAAAATTGTTCTCTTCATAATCTCCCTGTCGGTGAGGAACACGTCGCCGTGCTCCTGCGTCTGCACCGAGGCGCCGTCCTGAGGGAAGCCGATCAACGACGCGCAGTTCCCATCCCTTTCACACCCCCTCTGAGTCCATGGAAGCTTTTTCAAGCTGGGCGAGGCCCCTCCACCCTGGCTCGAAGCCCCCTTGCCCTTGCCCACGCCGACCCCACCCCGCGCAAGCGCCATCTCTGGTCCTCGCCGTGCCCCTCATCCATGGAGGGGGCCTCCGGGTCGCCTGGCACCAGGAAATGGGCGTCTGCGTCCGCGCCGCCCCCCTCGGCCGCAGCCGCAGCCGCCGGCGCCCTTGCGGCGTCTCCCGCGCCGTCGTTGGCCACGCTCGCCAGCGGCGGCCCCTCCTCCTCCGCGGCCGACGCGCCGCCGTGGCTGGCGTGATCGCCCAGCCCCTCGAACTCGCGGTCGCCCTCGCCATCGACGCCGCCGCCCGCTGAGCCGCCGCCGACGTCGGAACCTGCCATGCGGGGCCGCAACTTTGATAAGGGGCCTTCCGGATAATGTCTCCCCCCCGTGCCTTCCCCGATTGCCTTTGGCCCCGCGCCTTCCCCGTTTGCCCTTGGCCCGTGGCATGGCACTGCTCGTGAGAGCGCCCCGCGAATCAAGGGCCCGCGGCCCGCGGTTCCCTTTGGCGCGAATTATCCCAGTGCGACCCTACCTAGGAGTTGGAGCATTGAGGAAAACAACATCTACATCTACACCGACAGCTACATTTACATCTACACCTGCATCTACATCTACATCAACATCATCAGCGAGACTCACAATTACACTTACATTTACACATACATCTACACCTACATATACATCTACATCTACACCTACACCTACATCCACATCTAAACCTACACCTACATCTCAATGCTATGCTATGATATGATATGATACGATGCTCTGATCCGCTAGGTTATTCTGTACTATGCTATGATATGATACGATGCGATCTGCAGACATCTCAAGGCTATGCTAGACTTTGACATGATATGTTCTGCTGCGCTATGATATGCTCTGTTATGCTATACTCTGCTGCGCTATGCTACGATATGCTATGGAAGGATCTGATATGATATGTTATGGCATGATATGTTGCGCTGTGCTGTGCTAGGCAATGCTATGCTATGGAACAATATACTGATATACTGCGCTATTATATGCTATGCTGTGCTATGGCATGATGCGCTATGCTATGCTATGCTTGGCTATGCTTGGCTATGCTTGGCTATGCTATGCTATGCTGTGCTAATGCTGCGCTGCGCGATGCTGCGCTAAGCGAAGTTGAGCTATGCTAAGCTAAGCTAAGCTGGGCTAGGCTAAGTTAAGGCAAGCTAAACCAAGCCAAGCTGAACTAAGCTAAGCTAAAAGCTAAGATGCAATAAGCTAAGCTAAGCTAGGCTACGCCAAGCTAAGCTAGGCTGTGCAAAGCTAAGCTAAGCTAAGTTAAGCTAAGCTAAAATGAGATAAGCTAAGCTGAGCTACGCTTAGCTCAGCTAAGCTGGGTGAACCCAGGGGGCGCAACTTGGGGAACCGCGGGGCGGATGCCGGGGGAACCGCCCGGAACAAGCCCCACTGCTCGGCCCTTTCAGCACAGAGAATAAGAACCCTTCTAGACAGAGCCTAGGTAGGGAACAATTTTGGCTTGATTCCTCGGTCGGCCTGGGAGGGCGCGCCGCGGCTGAGCCTGGGTCAAGGCCCGCTGGCCCTACTCGTCGCCGACCGCGCCGACTCGGACTGCGCCGGCAGCCCTGCGGCTGGCGGCGTCCCGCGCGGCCCTCTCTCTCTCTCCTCCCCCACCTCCTGGCTCTCGCGCCCTTCCTCAAGGGTGATGCGAACGCTGTGGAAGACCTCGAGAGCCCCGCAACAAAACTAATGAAAACAACAAAAAAAACACCTGGGGGGAGCCCGCGCAGCCGACTGCATGCTGGAACCACGGGCCAGGATATCTCCAAGTCCCCCCCCCTGGATGGGTCCGCCAATGCCCCAGTTTGCGCGGTGCTGATTCCCGGGGCCCCGAGACCTCTAGGATGTCCCACGCCCGGACGACGTGATGCTCCATCACCTACCTTGGCCTCTCCACCCATCGGCGCCTCGCCAACCGCGATCTCCAGAATGAGCAGCGCCACCGAGATCATGCCGAGCATCCAAGGGCTGGATCCCAACAAGGCCGCGCGAGTCTCATTGCCCTGATCCCGCATGAGCGCGCACTGCGCGTCGAACACCATCTGGGAGCCCTTGAAGGTCAACCGGGCCTCCTCTGACCAAGGCACTACCGTGTGGCTCACCTTGAAGTGTTCGAGCACGCGGTTGGCCATGCTCTTCACGTCCAAGCCCTGCGTCACGGGGATGTCGCGGTTCGTCGCGCGCAGCTCCGGCTCGAACACGCCGCCGCGGTTCCTGAAGCGGAGCCTCGTGATCGTGCCGTCCACGAGACGCAAGGAGTATCCACGGGGGCCTGGCTCGAACGTGACGTGGTCTTCCTGGGCAGGCACGGAGCCCGAGGGGGGGGCCCGCCTGTCGCTTCACCAAAGACTTATGGTAGTCGAAGGGACTACATGCTCCAGGGTGGTCATGGACAAACTCAGGGTCGCCTGGGCTAGTTTACTCAAGGTCCCCGGGGCAAGTCCAGGGCAGGCCTTGGGCATGGGTCTTGGGGAACGCTGGAAGGTTGGCCCAAGTGCTCCCTGGGTGAGCTTAGGCAGGGGCTTTACGTAAGTAGGGTCAGGGCTTTGGGGCGAGCCTCGGGTGGGGCCAGGCAGGCCCGGGTAGAAGTAGAGCAGGCCACTGGGTGAGGTGTGCTACATCTCAGGCCCCCCGCTTTCTGTAACTAAGCCGGTGCATCCTCTGCGTCAGACTCCCCCTGGGTCGCCTGGGTCTCGTGCGCGGGCGCCGGGCGGAACGCGCCCCGAGCAAGCACGTGGTTGGTCGCCTCGCTCGGCAGGCCCAGCGGAGATACCATGCATTCCAATAGCTTCGGCCACTGCCAACGTTTGAACCCCTGCGGGACCTCGAGCTGCACGGGGGGCGGCGAGTGAGGCTCCACAGGGCGACCCGACGCGAACAGCAAGCGGCGCGACGTGGCCACTGCGTCAGTGCCGAGGGAGCCTCGCAGCATCGGCACAACGACGGAAGGGTGCCCATTGCCACTGATGCCAATCGAGACCGTTGGGGCGCTTCCTTGACCGAACGCACCCGCTGTCTTTGTAGTCATTACCGTGTGGCCTGTTTGCATCAACTTATTGAACTCCGATGCCGCGTCGGCCGGCATGCCCCCGGCGTCGCCGCCTGCTCCGGCGCACGCGAATGCGCAGGGGGCCGGCCTCGCCCTGCCAGGTCAGTCTGGTGGGCCCATCTCCCCCGACACCCCGCGACAACGGAGGGGGCGGTCGTCGCCCGGGCCCCTTCATTAGTCTCCAAGCAGGGGGCAAGGCCGGCAGCCCCACCATTCGCACGCTGCCCGCCCTTTGTGTTCTGCGCGGGGATGAGGCCGACCATCTTGAGGAAGCGGTACGCCTCGTCTAGGTAATGTCCCGTAGTACACGCGCCCCGACAATGCGACTCGCTCGGGGCCACTTGGTCCCAGTCCCCGGCGCATCGCAAGAAGAACGCCGCCTCCGTGAAACTCGTGAGCATGGACGATTCCACTTTCACCAAAGGGGCAAACCCCGCCCTCCCGCACGCCCCGACATTGTCGCCTCGCAGGCGCCATTCCGAGATCCCAGACCCCCTCGAGTCATGAAAAAATCATGGCGGGAAGTTTTTCCAAATTTTCGGCCTCCGGGGGCCCTCACCGGGCCTCGGGAGCGTCAAAAAACGGCTCAGGATGCGAAGCCGGTCATGGGGAAAGGGTCGGGACCTCTGGGGGTCGACGTAATGAAAAAAACATTACGTCGGGGGTCTGGGATCCCCGCGCGATCGGACTGAACGATCGCATTTCCCGCGCCGAGCCGGTCGATCCCCCCTGGCGGTTGGCCCGACCCGGTCGCTCCCGCGATCCGATCCGCCGCTGACTCGCTCAGGTGCTCGATCGGCCGGCGAATCTGAGCTCCGCGCCAGGGCCTGCCCCCGTGGCCAAGGCGCTCGCAGTCGCCAGCACGTGGTCGTCAATTGCGCGCCCCACGACGAGGCCCGCCCGGTGCGTGGAGCTCTTCCGAGTCTGCGGGCAATTGATGTTGACGACCGGCAAGACTACCGGGCTTGGGTCACCAGGGAATATGTTGGTCAGTGCACCGTTGGTGCAAGCACACAGGTGGGCGAGGATTCCCATTCCGAACGGGAACTCGTGATGTGACGCCCGGGTGGCTAGAGTGAGAATCGCTTGCGATGCCTTGTGGCCCAAGGCGACCCTGGAGTCGTACTCCTTGTCGACGATGCCCCACACGGCGCGCATCTCATCTCGGAACTGCTGCATCGCCCCCCCGCCGCGCTTCGGGGCCAAGTCGGGTTCCCACTCGAGCCAACTGTCTGCGAGGACCAGGTGGTGGGCCCCTAGGAGTGCGCTCGCGCGGGTTCTGCTCGGGCAATTGTCATTCCCCTCGGCTGCCCCGACCGCGCCTGGTCATTTTCCTTCCCGCCCACACCGTTCTCCATTCTCTCTGTGCAACGTATGCATGCACCTGGCCCAACCGTGCAACGCCCCGGACATGGCGGGCGCGGTGCCTAAGCAGCGGGCAATCGGCGCGCGGGCCCGGGCGGCCTCGCTCACTCGCTCCGCGGCTGCCCCGCACTCGCGGCCGCGCGGGCCGCGCGCGCCTGCTCGGCCAGCCAGGCCTCATTTTTCACTTCGGCCAGTTCCGTTAGCAAGAAGGCCGAGGTAAACTGCCCCATGCGGCGCACAGAATATTTGTGGCGCCCCAGAGACGAGAACAGCTGCTCGCAGATCTGGCTATTGATGTTCTTCACGAGCTCCTTGTTGCAGTCTGCCTTAGGTGAACAATTTGCTAGGCACCAGGGGTCCACGTGGTTTCTGTCGCGCAGTCCGTCGGTGATGTACTTGACGTTGGGGTACGCGAGCCTGCGCGCGAAGGCGCCGTCGCCCTCGCGCTTCGAAGCGCACCGCCGCAAATGGCAAGCATCGTCGTGGCGGACAACGTCGACTGCTGGGGCCTTCTCCACGAACTCCGCCAAGAAGAAGTAGCGCTGCGGCAGACTCTCTGCGCCCACGTACTCCTTCAGATGCACGATGTAGCCTTCTGGAGTGCAGGCGTAAAGCCATCCGCATTTTCTGCTGAACTGGCTCGGGGTCGAACCGCGGCTGGCCCTGCCCAGTTGCGCCTCTTTGTGGGTCCTGCGCGACACGGACTGCAAATCCGCGTCGGGTGACATCGCCGGGATGTACGCCTGGTGTCCAGCATGGCCCCAGTACTCTTGCAGTTGGCCCTGGGTGACCTGGCGCGCGGCGGCCAAGCGCCTCGGCGCTCCTGGGATATCTTTCTGGCCCCGCGCCACGAGGCACACGTCGTGCGGTTCAGCCCTGGGGGCCGTTTCCAGCACGCGCCGGCGCTTGTGCGAAACAATGATTTCACTTTGCGGCGGGCCGTCATCCTCAGTCAGGGCGCGAGCCAAGTGCTTGCTGCAACGCTTCAGCTTGAATCCCGGTTTGCAAGAGCACTGCGTGGCAGTGTACCTCTCCAAGGAGGGGGAATACATCAGTTCGGCAACAGCTCGCCCGCAGATCCGGCGGGCCAGTTTCGCATTCCCATCTATGACGATCGTGTTGATGGAGCGCCCGCTGTCCGTAAGCCCCTGCACTCGTCGGCCGAGCATGTGCTCTGGGTACCATGACCAAATGGTTTTTACCAAGTCCGGCGACGTCTTCAACAAATTCAGCTCCCCCTGGCCGTTCCCGTGCTCGAACATACGGGCCATGACGCGCCGCGCGATCCAGGCCCTCTGCAACTTCAAATCTGCTCTGAACGGGACCACCTCTGCGAGCCCTGCTCGACGAGCTGCCTCCCCGCACGCCTTGGCCTCGCTGTCAAAAGACGAGTGCTGGAAGGCTAAGCGTTGCGTGAATTGCCGCAGCCACTGGGCAGACACGCCCCAGGTGTTGGCAAGGAAAAAATATTCCAGCCGATCGTGTCCACTCCAATGCCACGCATGGTTGTTCGTAGACTCTGAAATGTAATTATACCACACGCGCTTTCGCGCGCACCCGCGCCTCTCGCATCTCAACGGCACGCGGCGCCGCGATTCCCATCCACCTACACTAAGCACACTTGCTGTCACAGCCTCCCGCTCCTCCGGGCGCATGGGCCCTTTACAGCGTGGGCAGCTCCGGTTCGGATGGGACAGGGCACCACAGCTCCCGCCAGCAATGCGCTGTGCTTGTTGGAGTAACCCCGCGGCAGCGATGTCCGGCACTCCCAAATCTTTGAGAGCGCTGCGCAAACGTTCTGCCGCCATGCGCACTGGTTCGTCCGGGCTCGGAAAACCGAGCGCTAGCTAGCGTTCTTGAGGTGGTCTCCGACGGGCCACTGTTACGGCGACACCATTGGGGGCGCGGTGTCGGAGCCAAAACGGCGACGGGCCCACGAAGTGCATCACATCAGTGCGCCAGAGGGGGGCTGTAATCAAGATGCCTAGGCGACTGGGGCATCCCCCCAACTGTTGGCAGAGATTGCAGAAGACATTGGATGCCGGTTGCGTTTGACAAGGCTCGCGCAAAAACCAAAAACGATCAACGGCGCGAAGTGGATGCTAGCTACGGGGTCGAGAAGTCTGGAGTTCGTTGTTGCTGGAAGGGCGACGGACGGGCTGGCCAAGGGCAGGACTCCTGACCAAGAGCGCGGCTGTCCGATTGGCCGTGGGTGGCTTTGGGGATCAGCTCTTCCAATCCTTCGTCCGTCCAAGTGGGAGACTGATTTACCGTTCATTTCTCCCCTGGCACCCTCCTCAAGAACCTGCCGGTGGTTCCTGAAAAGGCTGGGGTGTCCAAAATCTCCGAAAACGGCCCCGATGTGGTTCCGCCTACCCTCGATGGACTCCGCATTGCCCTACGGAGCCTTCAATGTGGACCCGCTTTCAGCACGTTCATCCAAGATGGCTACCAACGTGCTCGTCATAAGCTCCAAGAACCATATTCATCGTCGCCTGGTGGCCCCGAGGTGGTCTGGGGCCTCCTGCTGGGGTCTCCACAATTTTCTGGACGTCGTCGTGGTCATCACCATCGCTCGTCGTTGGAGCCCGCGAGGGACCACAGGGAAGTACCACGAAAGGACCACGAAAAGACCAAGAAAGGACAACGGAAAGATCACGGAGGGAACACGGAGGGACCACGCAAAGGACCACAGGGAGGGACCAAGAAGGACCACGAAGGGACCACCGAGGGACCTTCGAGAGACCACGGAGGGAGGGACCATGACAGGGCCAAGAAGGGGCCGAGAGGGGAGCAAAACAGAACCACGGAGGGACCAAGAACGGACCACGGAGAGACCCACTGAAGAGACCAAGGGGCCAAGGAAGAAGCGCTCCAACGGCGCAAGCTGCCCCGAGACCCCTGAACGACCCCCCGGCCAGCTCCTGAACGACATGCGCGGATGTCCCAAGCGAAACGGGCAAGCGCATCTCAAACCAAGGTATTTCGGAGCCTTCACCTCCGAGGATGTTTCAAGCGAAACCGGCCCGAACACTTCGAGAACCGCATCTTTGAACGCAGAGAAAACGGGCCAGCTCACTTCAATTCAAGGCTCCCCTGGCCTCAATTCCGAGGATGTCCAACGTTTCGCCGCCGTCGCCGGGCTCACTTCAATCGCGTTCACTTCTATGGTGATCGCATTCGTTTTGAACCCCGGAAGGGGCCGCACATGCGCGCGCATGCGGCACAGTCGCATGCACATGCCAATGCAACACTGCAAGAGCTTCAACAACATGACCGCACATGCGCGCACATGCCACACAGTCCGACGCACAGTCGGATGCACAGCCTGGACAAACTCCGCAACTATAAACACACATGCCCGCACATGCCGCAGAGGCGAAGATTCGGAGAGGAAGGGAGGGACACACGGGGAGGAGGCCAGATGAGAGGTCAGAGTTGCGAGGATGTCCCAGAAACAATGGCCTGACCACCCGATCTCAGGGCATATCGGAACCCAGAGTTGCGAGGATGTCTCACGCGGAAATGGCTGGACCACCATGAGGCCGCGCATCTCCGAGGTCGGGTTGCGAGGATCTCTCAGGCGAAACTGGCCTGACCACCCGAACTCAACACATCTCGGGGCCCAGAATTGCGAGGATGTCTCAAGCGAAAATATTTCCCCCAACAACGCAGCGCGGAGAAGGGAGGATACCACCCGAGCTCCACACATCCCAAAGCCCCAGTTGCGAGGATGTGTCATGCGATAGTGGCTGGACCACCATGGGGCAGCGCATCTCCGACGTCATAGTTGCGAGGATGTCTCAGGCGAAAGTGGCCTGACCATCTGAGCCCAGGGAATCTCGGAACCCAGAGTTGCAAGGATGTCTCAACCCAAAGTGGCCTGACCACCTGAGCCCAGGGAATCTCGGAACCCAGATTTGCGCAGATGTCTGTCAGAATTGGCGTCGGTGCTGGCGCAGGCGCGCGCGTCGGTGCCGGCGTGGGCGCTGGCGGCAGCGTTGGCGCTAGCGTGTGCGCTGGCGTCGGAGCTGGCGCGGCGCGGGCGTCGGCGCCGGGGCCATCGTAACCGTAAGCGTATGTTTCAGGCGAAAGTGGCTTCCATATCGAAGCCAGGAATTCCGAGGATGTCTCACGCGCGGAGGGCCATGCCACTTCGAGAACCGCACTTGGGAGACGACATGCGCGAATGTCCCAAGCGAAACGGGCAAGCGCATCTCAAACCAAGGTATTTCGGAGCCTTCACCTCCGAGGATGTTTCAAGCGAAACCGGCCCGAACACTTCGAGAACCGCATCTTTGAACGCGGAAAAAACGGGCCAGCTCACTTCAATTCAAGGCTTCCCTGGCCTCCATTCCGAGGGTGTCCAACGCGAAACGCTCCTCCTCCTCCTCCTCCTCCTCCTCCTCCTCCTCCTCCTCCTCCCCCTCCTCCTCTTCGTCCGCCATTTCCCCCCTTCGCTAGCCGATCCAGGCAGGCGGGAGGGCCGGCCAAACCGGGAGCGTTTTCCCCCTGTCCCTCCGCCTTTTCGTCGTCCTCCTCCTCCTCCTCCTCCTCCTCCTCCTCCTCCCCCTCCTCCCTCCCCCCCCTCCTCCTCCTCCTCCTCTTTCTCCTCCTCCTCTTCCCCTCCTCCTCCTCCTTCTCCTCCTCCCCCTCCTCTCCCTTCCTCTCTTCCCCGGGCCGACCCGACTCGGCTCGCTGGGCGTCCGAGACTCGGACGAGGAATGCGAAGGACAAGAGCAGGGCGACGACGGAAGAGGACACCGCCCTTCGCTCACCAAGAACAAATTCTTCAAACACTACCGAAACATGCGGGAGGCCCTCGGACATCCTCGCAGGGCCCTGGGAGCTTCTGGGCGGCCCCTGAAGCCCCGGGGGGGCCGAAACCAGCAAAAAACAGATCCTGGACACGATGAACGACGGCGGCGACGACGGCGACGGCGGCGGCGACCAAGGCGACGACGACGACGACGACGGGAACCGTAAAGTCGATTTCCCTGAGGGGCCAAAAAAAGAAGAGAGAGGAAGGAAGGAAGGAAGGACGGACGGACGGACGGAAGGAAGGAAGGAGGGGATCTCCTCTCTCTCTCGCAGGCGCAGGGCGCGCATCCGAGCGCTGGCGGTTTCGCCGGCCGCAGCCGGCCGCCGCGCTCGCCCGCGGCGGCAATCGCAAAAACGAGGGGCGGGCGACGAGACGGCAGGGAGACAGGAGACAGGGAGAGAGACGGCGGGAAGGAAGGAAGGAGGGGATCTGCAGGCACACGGGGCGCAAATCCGAGCACCGGCGGTTTTGCCGGCCCCGGCCGGCCGCTGCGCCCGCCCGCGGCGGCAGCGGAGAACGAGGAATGACGACGCGGCAGGGAAAGAGGAGAGAGGGAGAAAGAGAGAGACGGAGGGAGAGAGGAGGGATGGGGATCTCCCCTCCGAGGCCGCGCGGCTGGACAGCGGCGCTGGGCCATATGCCGTCGGGGCCACCCCTGGGCGACTCACTTCTTCTGCCTATTGTTCCTCCACCACTGGTTCCACTCCTCCCGCTCCTTCCGCTTCCTCTCCAAGAATTCTTTCCTCGCCTCGGCGGCTTCGCGCGCCTCCCGCTCGTGTTCCTCGATGGTGGCGTGGAGGGCCGCCGCGCTAGAATCCCGCCGACCGACGGCGGCGCCCCGCCTCACCTGGAGACCCTGGAGCTCCTGGAGCTTGGCTTTTGCCTCCTCAAGGAGAATAGTTTTCATCTCTAACTCTTTCTGCGTCACCGCTTCGGACGCGGCGGCGTCTTCGTCCTCGGCCCTCCACTGGGCTTCCTTCTTCTCCAGCTCTTTCTGGAGCTCAAAATTTTTTGGCGCCACCGAGCCGCCTCCTTCGCGAGGGGCCGCAGCCGATGCGAGAGAAAGACAAGGCAGGCCGACGGGCGCGCGCCGACGCCCCACCCACAAGAATCGCACGAATGCCTCCCGCTGGACGCCGGTCGCAGCACAAGCCAGAGGAGACGCGCGAATGCGCCCCAATGGACACATGCCGGAACGCAATCCACAGGAAGCGCACGCGTGCGCCCCAGTGTGCACGCGCCGAAGAATGACCCAGAGGAACCCATCGGCGCGCCATGCCTTTCATTATCGGCTGCGCCCCTCGCTGTCCTCCTGTCCGTTGGCAAATGTCACCACTGCCGCCTCCTGGGGCGCAATGTCTTCGGAGGTCATGGCATCCCAGTCGCTCTTCTGGAGCCTGGTGCCCTTGGCTATGCCATACTTTATCAAAAACGCCTCGATCCCGAGCGCGTCGTTGGCCGAGTAGAGGTCGTTGAATTGGCCCCACAGGATCTTCGCCGTGTCGCTTTTTTTGGCGCCTTCGCGAAAACGCCCCACGGCCCACTTGCACTGCTGCTTGACCGTCTCAGCCATGGCGGCGCGCGGCGGCTGAGGCGAGCGAGGAGCGGCTGAGGCGAGCGGCAGCCTGAGTCGAGCAGCGCTGACAACCAGAAAGGCTGACGCGAGTGCCAGGGGACAGAGGAAGAGGGCCGAGGTGGGTTTTTTGATAATTAGGAAGGGCGAGGACGAGGAGGACGACGA